AAAGCCTGTTTTGAGGGTTCCAGGGGGGGCCAAGAACTTCAATTCTGCAGTGCACGCTTTGGCATCTGAAAATGTAGAGCCAAGCCCCACAAACACGGACCTGCTGGTTTCTTTCATCAAGTACTGGCATTCTTGTTTCCTTCAGTGCCCGCAAGCTGGAGCCAAAACCTCCAACTTGAATTCAAGCGTAGAACTTCCACCCTGAAGACTCCTCGAAGCAGACAGGCTGGGTTCAAACAACGACATCAGAGGATGGGGTGGCTTACCTGGCCCCAAACAGAACCGGCGATGAACTGTACCATCTCTTCAGCAGAGCCCTAGCAGCAGAAAACCTGAAACTCAATCTCCCTATCTTCTTATCTGACCCCCAAACTCAGGCTTAGGGTGTAGGGTTCAGGGTCCAGCAACACTACATCTGGCCAGCTCCATGAAGCTGAGGCCTTACAAGGGACAAGAAGGGCTTACTAGGGACTATCCGTTTGGGGCAGTTGCATTTGTCTAAGGTTGAAACCATGGGCCCCTACTATAGGCCCTTAACCCTGGGATCCTTATATACCTACTATACCCTATATGTACCTACAAGGGTCCCTAGAATCGCCCTAAAAGGCCTAAGGGCCCATATTAGGGGCTCATCCTTCTAACCTTAGCCCTAAACCCTTGACCCATCTTAGGGGCTCATACTTCTAAACGTGGCCCTACACCCTAAACCCATCTTAGGGGCCCTTACTCCTAACCTTAGAATTTGGGGAAGGCCCAGGGCACCCGAGAAAAGTCCGACTCTCCGCAGAGGTGAAGATCCTCAGCTTTGCGTTTAAGTTTAGAGGGTTTAGAGTATAGAGGTATAGGGTTCAAGGGTTTAGGGTTTAAGCATTTAGAGTTCAGGGTTGAGGGTATGGGGTTTAGGGTTTAAGGGTGTTTTAGGGTTTAGGGTACGGGGTATAGGGTTTCCATCGCTTCTCCAATTTGTAATGGCCCATGATTGACGTGTTGGGAAGGTGGTAGGGCGGAGGGTACAAAGAGGCCCCTAGAATACGCATCCTGTCAATCGGGTATGAATATGTCAGATGAACGTCCTCTTAGGGTTTGCAGACAAGGGGGACAGCTTTGATATGAGCTATAGTCTATACTTCGAGTATCCCCCTATAATACTCCCCTATAATACTCCCCTATATAATCCCCTACATAATCACCTATATAATCACCTTCAAGGAGTTTAGACTATAGCTTGTATTAGGAAAAGCAGCCATGGCCCGGCAGACGGACTTCACCGGCTAAACCCAGCAGTTTTTCTCAAGTGTTGGATCACGCTTCTTTCAAATTTATTCGAGGGCCGTCGTCAATCCTCAGTACGATTGTGTGCGACTGCTGGCGATGGAGGCTTACCATACAAGTTCAGAATGCATAAGGTAGTATGTATGGAATGAGTTGCTGCATCGCCTTTGATTGAAATATCTTTGCAAGAGTCTCGTGAGGCTACAGCAAACCAGAAGTGTGAAACTCCTGTGGGAACGTCACGATCATTGCGGGAATGATGATTAGGCACGCCTGGGTGCGCTTTTCACGCATCAAAAGCCTATTCTAATCATTGAGGCCCCTACGTTGCAGGTTCAAAGATGGACAGACTATGGTTTCCTACCAAATGATCTTCAAACCTGCAAGCAGCTCCTTAGGATAAGGAAATCTGCAAACCTACCTGGCCAGAATGAGTTTCTTCGAGCACAATGCAAACTTAAACGGTCGAAATTAGTGTTTCTTAAAATCCAGGGACACGGGACATGTCAAAAAAACGCAAGCACTATAATACTTAGGATGAGGAAACCTGAACAGGGACCCTCGATTTTTTGCAAAAAGAAGCTTCAACAGACGCTTCACAATGTCCAACCAGATACTCAAGCCTCCAAATCTCTACATCCGAAACCCTAAATATCTTGAAATTTTGACGCCCTGACCCTTGATTCAGGGCTTTGATTAAGCTTCAGCCATCTGCCACCAACCCGAAACTTCCTGAAGCTCCTGCTATCCCAAGGCGCATGATGACATGATCCACTTCTCGGAAGCCCTGGAGGCGAAAAGCATGAGCTCTCATTCAGAGTTTTGGGCGTGTTTTGGGTTTTGGGGTTAGGGTTTTGAATGTAGGGGCTTCGGGGGTTGAAAGTTGTTTCTGTAGCTCTTTGAGAAAAATCATTATCTGGGTGTAACAGACAACGGTAATTTTAGGTTTATGATAAGTTCCCCTTTCAAAGAGTGATGTAGGGGTGTTTCGAGGGACTCCCATATAATCATCGGTGCATGGATACATGAGAATCTCCAGAAGGCATTCATCACTTTCCCGCAAACACGAGGAGACTGCTAATCATTTATCTTGTCCGAACTCCCTCTCCAAGACAGGCCCTTCCACTCGAGAAACACTAGCAATAGGTGGATGAACAACGGCCTATCGCAACTTTGCCTGGCAAAAGTCATGGCAGTACTAAAGAACCCCAATATGTTGTACTTTGCAAGGTACTTGTTGCAGAAGGTAGTCCAAGATCTCCTCTGTCAAAGGAGGGTTGCTCTAAACAAATACGGCTGAGGTCGTTTTTCAAACACTCCTTGTCTCCATACCATACATGCAATAGCCGGCATCATCATTACCCGCGGAATCCGGGCTGCACAGCAACATCCTTTGAAAACAAACCTCATGTTTTCCTATTGGATATGCATGCTGACATTTGTGACTCAAAGTTACGCTGAGGGGATCATGCGCAGCTTGCACAATTGACCCACTGCCTGGCTCAGCTTCGAAGTATTTCCACCACCAGTGGCCCAGATCCCCTGTCGGTGCAACTGCATCAGGACTTTAATTTGGAAATTGCAGCTGACATGGGAGAAGCATGGTGCCAAGAAGCAACCGATCAAGCCATCTAGTTTCCCAAACCAGAATCCTCCACATGTCCTCTGATGTAATGTCCGGAGCGAATCGGTTTGCAGATGACAACGGAAACCCAAACTTGCTTACTGGGGGTTAGTAAGGAAGGAAGGGAACATGTTCTCTACTAACTACCGGTAAGCTTCAAGGTACAGCATCCTATGGCAATTTCTGTGGTCTAAAGCAAAACAATGGGGCCGTCAATATTGCCATTCTTGCAAGTAGTCCTACTATCATTAGCATGTCCCCTTGGGAGGAAGGGGGGTGACCGGATTCATTGCGAACGTGCACCGGGACACTAGCTGAGGTTTGCATGGCCCCACATGCTCACGATGATGCTGTATAGAAACCTGGCAGACACCTGAAAGATGGCGCTTCGTACTTCTACAGTGGAAATGTAGCTCAAATATGGCTACATTTAATTCTAGCCTGACCAGGTAGGTTCGTATAGTGTCCAAGACAATGATTGCATATGATGATCGGGGTCCCCTTTGTCGTGACTCCCCTTGCCAGCTTCGATTCAATCCTGAATCCCGAATACCAGCTGAAATTGTCATCTTGGGCGCCTGAGCAACCAACAGAAGCTAAAGAAAGGGTAGTGTCAGTAGTGCAAATCCAATAATCTCTGTAGCTATTCAGGTCCATAGGCTATGGGCCCATCCCCGAATCCATCTTCTCGTCCCTGCGCTTGGTGGCCACAAAAAGGCCGAGAGAAAGGGTAGCCGCAGAATCTGCTTGAGACCAGGATGAATACCATACACGCGCTGTGTGGGCTGGGACCCTATAAACCCTACACCCGGATGACCTATCGTAAAGCCCAATCTCGACTGGTCACTAGCATTTAGAAGGCTAAACCGTTGCTTTGGGCCCGTTCCCCTTACCCTGCTGGTGCCGGCAATCCCCAAACATCAACCAACTTTCGCATCATACTGGTACTACTGCAAGCATGACTACGTGAGGTTTCGCCATGCGCTAGAGCACGCTCCATGATGTGTCGAATGCATGTTTTTGAAATGGCTTCGGGCCATCAGAATTGAGGCATCATGCCTGGGGTACATCCCTAAGGGCCCCCAAACAGGACAGTTCCCCGGTGAGGCCTCCTGTCAAGGTGAACTAAAAGGGAACTAAGGGATTCCTAGAGGGTCTGTCCTGTTTGGTAGAAGGGGGTAGACCCACAAACAGAAATGCCAGCGGCGTGTCTGAGCCGTATAGCACTGGAGCAGCTGCTGCAGGTCTGCTAGTGACGTGCTAGGTGCAACGGAAAAGCCAAGGTCTCCTTTTTAACAAATTTGCAGGCTACAGGACTAATTGACCACACTCGGCGGGCGCACGCCGAACACATCACCCATGGCCCTAGAATGCTAGAATACTCTCAGGAGCTAGCTTCAGCTGAGTTGAGCGAAGGCACTAACAAAAATCGCTGCTGAAGGATGCCATGCAGATGGACGGATGCTAAACATCAGAACACTCCATGCGCGCAGCATCGTTTCGGATTTGCTTCCTCTGCCAGCACTGGCACGGCACTCAGCAGAGCGCGCGGATAACCGCCACCCTTCTGCCAAGCTTTAGCTTTCGAGCCCTGCCTCTTGCAAGGCAAATTCGATTCGTTCAACTTGCATCTTGCCCGAAACCGCTGGGGTAATGACCTTCTCTTGTACACCTAGCATCTGCGCAAAAGTCCGATGTATCCGTAAGTAACATTCCTTATACACACCTGGGAAGTAGTGGCTCTAAGTGTTGCCTAAGTGTATTTGATGAAGTCAGGTTGGCGCTGCGATATGGGCTATTAAGTAAAAAGCAATAGGACATGATATCTGTGACTCCACTGCTTGTCTTACCTTTGGATCCTTATGGTAGTCCCTATATAACCCATTTAAGTAGTTTCCATTTTCTTTGCCATTCAGGAGTAATACTCACAATAAAAACTCAGAATAATAATCATAATAGTAATAACCATCATCATGGTAATAATAATCATAATAATAATAACCATCATCCTATAAAATAATGCTAATATATGCTAGTAATAATTGTATCCAGGGGCTTTTCAAGGATCCCTGCGGGGCCCACGGGCCACGCCCTTCAGGCTCCTTCACGGCAAGTTCTCTCTGCCCGCCTTGCAAGCGGAGATCTGCAGGTTGCGAAGGTTCCTGCTGGGCTTGCTGGTTGTGTCAGGGGGTTGAGAGGTTAGGGTTTAAGGTTTAGGGTTTAGGGTTTAGGGTTTAAGGCTTAGGGTTAGGGTTGAGGGAAGAAAGGAATGCAAAAGAAAAGGTAGACTACCCTGTTCTACATGGACTACTATACTTACAGGCTCTTAGTAGGGAATAAAGGAATATGTTCCCTATATCCACCGTTAAAATGTATTAAAATGTTCCTCATTCCCTACTAAGAACCAAATTATTGGGGTCCATTCCTCCAGTCTCCGCATACAACACCAGCAAGCTGAATCACCACTTGAACCAGTCCCTGGAGTTGCCAACTGAGATTGGACCAAGGATCTCTATCTCCATACTGGCTCTTAGTAGGGAATAAAGAAATATATTGTATAGGTATTATGTAGGGAATGTATTTTCCCTTATTCCCTACTAAGGTCTAGTAAGTCTATCTGCGCCAGGGTTTGGCTGGAGTTTTCCAGGACTTGCAGAGCTACCCTAAACCCTAGACCACTACAAGGACTCTCCCTGGAATTGCAGGATGCGGTGCTGCCCAAGTTTCGATTCGACCGATGCATGAGCTGTAGCCTAGTATAGTCCCCTATGTAATCCCCTTATATAGCCCCCCTCCAAGGAGTTCAGACTCTAGCTTATGTCACACTTGCTGCTCATTTAAATGTGCAAAAAATGGGGACCCTTTTTTCGGACGGAGAAAACATTACACGGGCACAAAGGCAAACTTTAAGGTTCCCGGTAGCTTCATGACAAAAGTTATACCAATTTGTGACACTCTCTGTGGGGCTATAGCGACTGTAGCTTAAGGCCTAGGCTTCAGATCTCTAGTCTAGGCAAAGGCTCTGGTTAACTAGTTCTGAATAGGACTTCATCAGGCTGATGTGGGACTGAAAGGCCCCTGCTTCAAGGTGCGGGCAGCTAAGACCATGCTCACCACCTTGATCTACTTTCCATGTCCTCCGAAACTTCGTGGAAATCCTAGCGTACGGTACCGGGTCAAAAGATCTCATCTTTGGAGACCCCTCTTGAAGCCAAACCTTTAAAACAGTCGAGCATAATACTAGTCGTAATGATAAAACAGTACTACTAGCAATAAAAGTATAATTCAACAGTGCCAAGATTAGTTCCCATGGTCGCAATTGAGAAGGACGGCATCTTGAACTAACAGCGCCTAAGGAAGCCGGCCCAAAAAAGAGTCTAACCGAGTGCTGAGGACAGCAGCGCAACAACAAGATGATGGCCAAGAAATAGACAGTTCCGCAATCAAAGATGATCTAATGGCTGCTTCTCAACATTGCTGGTTCCTCACGCAGTCTTCATCGTGCGGACAGTATTTACTTTCATTTATCCTGGGAGGTGTTGTACAGTGAGCATAGTCTTGAAAAACTGTCCTATGGGAGTTTCCAAAGAGTCGTGGTTCCCTCTACTATACTACCATTGCAGGAGCCCCACACAGAGACGCCTGGCTCCCATATTACAGTAGGAACAACAACCTGAAGCCCAAACCCAGAACCCAAAGTGCCAACAAGATGCATCGAGCGCATGACCTTAGGGCCGCGAGCATGCGTGACGTACAAGGGTTTTACCTCTGGGCTCTAAAACAAGTTCCTCAGAAATACTGGAAGTATGTCTTGTAACTTTGACGCCTCAGAACTCGATTTTTGGCAATTGCGCTATGTACTTGGGAGACGGATTAACGGTCTGCGAGGCTACTGCAATCATAAGTCTCTGTATTGGATCTCTAACGTTTCACGACTAAACTGGAGGTCAGGAAGGCTCTTCTAAGCACCAGTACTGGACGGTCACAACTGTTGCACCTACCACTGATGATTCCAGCATGCTACAATGAGTTTAGAGTTCAGGCAATTCTGGGACCCCACTACTTACTACCCCATTACCTATGCAGACGTAGCAAAGGAGGAATATGGCCCAAACAGGCTAAAGTCTAAACTCCTAGTATCCCCCTTAATAACCCCTATAATGCTCCCCAATATAATCCCATCTAAGGAGTTTAGACAACGGCTCAAATGATAATGCAAGTATTCAGGTAGCAGATGCACAGGACATGCCTCCGGCACCAGGCACCCGGCGAAGAATCGGCACTTGCCTGTGCCAACACACATGAGCCCAAGACCAAGTTTTGCAACCACCCCAGGCAGGAAAACAAAGGCAATGCCCAAAAAGCACGGGACCAGGGTCACCAGCAATTTATCTGGGGTGCCTGAAACTCATAGGTCTCTAATTCCGATGCTCTTTCAGTGAACTTGGAAGGTACTACAAAGTACTAATGCAACGCCATGGGAACCCCCAAGCCAGATCTTCACCAACTGATCTCAATGATCGTGTACGAAAAAGCGCCACTTTTTTTGATGCACTACGCCCGAACTTCCTGACTCTGCGTCACAAGACGTGACAGACCCCAACGTCTCCAAATCCAAAGGATGAACCTTCCAAACCTCCAGGCTTAAACCCTCTACAGATTTAAGGCCAAGGTCTAAGGAAAGTCCTCGCTGTCGGAATGAGTGCCGAAAACTTTGGAACATCGAAACTCTCGAATCAACTTGACCCTGCCCTCATATGATGGTTTACCCCCAGAGCTTTCCATGAGGATATTTCTTGCGCCTAAATGCCTCCGGTCTACAGTAAAACAGAACGGGAGAAACACCACACCATTGAGTTCCGTGGTCAACGGATGCCTCCCAAAACTCCGAGCCCTGATCCAACTAATCACTAGTCCCAGAACCCTAAGCCCCATAACCCACAAACCCCAAACCCTAAACTAAAACCTAGTAAGCCCCAAACCCTCAAACCAAAGAACTGTGAGGAGGTTGCTGAAAACAACACCCATGCAATCCTTCAAGGCCCCCAAACCCCCTTGTAGTCTTCATATCTCCCTACGCTCCCCAGCAACACCCTAAACCCTACCCCCAAAACCCTTCTATAGCCCCGGGTACCATTCCCTAAACACTAAACCCCTTTTCCCTAAACCCTAAACCCTAAACCCCTCAACCCGAAACCAAAAATCCCTGAGCCCTAAACCACAACCCCCTAAACCCCAAGACCCTGATCCCCTGTTCCCCGCTCGGAAACCCCCGTGGGCGCGCCCTGCACCGGAGGAGGGAGTCCCGGGATGGCCCCAAGCTCCGTGGATGTGGACGCCTTAGGGTTGTGGGTGGGGGTTAAGGGTTTAGGATTTAGGGTTTAGGGTTTAGGGTTTACGGTTTAGGGTTTAGGGTTTAGAGTCAAAGGGTTGAATGGATACACAGGGTTTGAAGGATTTAAAGGGCTTCCAGGGTTTAGGGTTTGAAGGGTTTAGGGTTTAAAGGATTTAGGGTTTAGGGCTTGAAGATTCAAATCCTAGGGTTCGTAGGGTTGTCTTTCTCATCTACTCTAAATGAACCCCAAGGTTGGTCGCATCCGTCCTTCCTTATTCGCTGTTGATGGACGAAATCCTGACAATTACAATAAATAGCTAAACCCTAGACACATTTGAATCCAAACGCTAGAAACTCAGCTGCGAAGTTTGTTCACCTGACTAGCATGTTCTGGGTCATGTTGGCGATTTTCTGACGGTAAGGAATAGAAGCTACATTCTGCCCTCGCCGAAAGACGAACCTGATGGATGATATCCTGCGTGATCTCCAGTATAGCATATAGGGGCGCCACAAACATCATTTTGTATGACCTTATGAGGAATATGAAACAGGTAAGACTTATTCCCAGGAATATGCCAGTGAAGGCTGCGGGAACATCAAGGCACGGCATGCTATGGAAAATCAACTCACTGCTCTATCTGTAGGCTTTCGGCCAAATTGCCCGGCTCAGGGCTTGGGCTTTAGGATTCGAGATTAGGTTCATGGTCTGAGCCTACAATCTATCCAAGCAACCTTCAGATCCACTTCAGATCTTGTCGTGGCATATGGAAATTTCTCAACACTGTGGTCCCCCCACCCGGCACCAAGAACATGCAATGAAAGATACGCTGGCCCCAAAAACAGGGAAAAGTAATCTTGGGAAAGCCCTACAAACAACCTCATGATCCTTGAAACATTGTGCTTGAACCCCAGCTAGCCCCCAAGTGGAGAAGGAACCCAAACTGGGAAAATCTTCAAATCCTCCGCATGACAGTCTGCGAATTCCTGCGCCTGATATCACACGCCCGCCCAGTCCCAGAAATCAAAAAACTGTATAACTGGATTTCGGCGGTTCCAAAAAGGCAGGTCCCCCTCATATCCCAAAAGATCCATACTTCATATTGTAGGGACCCCCAAAAAAAGGGGCCCGAATTTTCCGCAACCCGCGTTTGGGAGGGCAGCCCTGCCTTGACAAAGCTCAGCTGTATGTTTGATGAAGCCCTTGGGAGGTCCCATGCAGGCCCTATACTGCCCCTCCCCAATGGGGGCTACTGAAGTTACTGGCCAAATTGGGTCTATAGGGGTTATATAGGGATAATGGAAAAGAAAATGGAGACTACTATATTATAACAGGGTATATGTTGGGTGTATATTGGGGTTATATTATCTAATAATCAAACTGTTACTGGGTGGAACCGGTACCCAAAGACTAGATTGCAAACATGACAGTGCCCTGTACACTTAGCCCATCTTCTTGCTGGGCGCCAGCAGGGAATCTAAGAATGGAATGGAACATGAAAACCTGCAAAACACTACATTGATGGGGATTAAGTCGGGGCTAGTACGGGGATCCATTCCCCCCTTCCCCCCCAAGCAACGAGAAAGTCTTTCAAACAGCCAAGTACTTGGCTCTCAAAATCAAAAACCCACGTTTCTGTCTGTGCATATACAAATGCTACAACGATGATTCGGGGACCTGGGTGTTCGGAGAAGCAAGCTTCTGTGCAAATCTACACCAATGCATACCTGGTCTGACCAAGAATGACCGCATCTGAGAAGGCAACAGTGAGTGCAAAACTCTCAGTCCTGCTTTGGCGTTCTCAAAACTCAGGGGCTTGCAGGAAGTATAGGGTGATTCAAGGGGGATGGCGTTAAGAATTACATAAAGATCATCTTAGGAAACTTGCTTGTAAGACTTCCAGTCAGCTCCAAGTTGCTCTAGATGGTACCCTTGGAGCTTGTGTTCCTCCGGTCCTTCTGAGGGTGGTTCTCCAACACCGTGCTCCCTACTTCACGGCTCCTCTTGTAAACAACCTACTCTTTACAGGTGTATACTGGGGCCGTACTGTTGGCACATGCCTACTTTAATGCGCCCGCATTTGCCTCTTCAGCACAGGTTACTCTGCGGAGGAGGAGAGGTCGTAAATTCAGAACTGCACAAGAATCCGGAGAGTCGAGCATTCAGGAGAACTGGAACTCAAAGCGATTAGAAATCTAACAACAATCAGGGCAGCCTCAGTCAGCTTACTTATCTATAGGAGCTCTGACTATCAACGTTCTAGCAGACGGTGTGCGCCACTGTACAGAACGCGTGGGAAAGTTTTCAACACTTACCTGCTCGCACTCCATCTGCTTGCTGCTGTCTTGTTCACTGCCGGCATGACAACTTGTCGGGTCAGGGGGACTTAGCAAGCAAGTCCCCTGACCCTAAACCCTAAATACCCAACAATATGGCAGTCTTCATCTCCTTTCCGTGTGTCTACTCCTTACTACTTAAGTTCCCCTGCCCCTCCAAGTGAACTCCTAAACTCCAAAGCCCTGAGCTGCAAATGATCCCAGTTTCCATTTTGTGTTCCATTTTCATGTCCATCTGGTTCTCCACTATCCTGAACCCTAAAACCCTGCATTTTGGGACCGTCGCCTTCGAAACTCAAACGACGAGAGTTTGACATCCTCCGCCTTGGGCACCAGGTGCCTTGGCAAGCCCAACAAGTACGGGCGATACTAAAAAGCTGCATGACTTTATTAAGTACCCTAAACCTTGGGAAATTTTGGAACTTCAGTATGCTAAGGTTTTGCAGGATTTTGAATATGAAGCATATTCTGCGGATTTTTGGGGGGCCTTGGAGGTCTTGGACCTGCAATGACGGTAGGGCTCTAGGGCCGCTATGTGGCTTGCTGCCAGATTCAGCAGGTATAAGGTTTAGGGTTTAGGGTTTAGGGTTTAGGGTTTAGGGTCACTGTCTAATACAGGGGCCTAAACATCCAGAACCTTGACATTGGTCATTATCTAGGCTTCTACATTTCATCGGGTGGCGGGAATGTGGCGCCCTGAATATGTTGTGCATGTCGAGCACTTCATCTATGCTATCTGTTTAGAGTAGAAGGCAGAAGCGGGCCCCCTCAACTTCACTGCCTGAGTTGCTTATGCTGAGCTGGGCTGGGGAGTATAGAACCGCTTCTATTTTGGTGCTTGATAATAAAGAAAAAGAAATGCTGGGCTGGAAAGGGGCTACTGACGAATTATGAACTAACTGGGTATTGCGCGGGCCATCTAAGAGGTGCTGTTGCCTGACCGTGAATACCAACATCCTTCTGCCAGTTGCCTACAGGCCACGGTCCAGCCTGACTGAAGACATTGACAAAATGCATCATGCAGGCGCTTCTGCAGTTTGAGGTCTCAAGATGTCACCCAAAGAAGCTCATAATGAAGGAAAAACGTGAATCCTACCCCCACATCACTCTAGAGCCTCTAGAGCCTGCAGACCGCACCGATTGTGAAAAGTAGGATCCTCTCCTGAAGCCAAAAAGGAGGGTCCAATAACAGTGGTGATACACACCGGTTCTTGTACAAGAGGGGCGATAGTGCTATGCGACTGGGACACCCTGCTTCCATAATTTGAATTGAGAATACAGACACTGCTCTCAAAAAATCACCACAACTCTCAACAGACGCGCATCTCAGGAGATTCCCATAATCATCTCGAACGAATACTCAGTAGGGACCCCCACAATCGCTTTGCAACCCTGATACACTTGCAGGTTCCCGGTTTGCAGTTCAGGGTTTACGGTTTAGGGTTGCAGGACACCTGAGTAGCGTTTTTTTGGTGGTTGAACCTTGTAAGATTATAGTCCTTATATAAAATACTATACCCCAAAAGGAGGATATAATCTTACTCTATATTGGGTACCATAATATCCCCAAATAAGATACTACTCACCTAACCCCTATATAATCCCAGTGTCCATTTCATTTTCCATTTTTTCTTTTCCATTTGATTCTCCATTGTAGGGCCCTAAACCTATACTACTCACCTGGGCCCTTAACCATGGTCCCTAAACACTCCGGATACCTTGCTTTGAGGACCCCGGTGTAGCCCTAGGGGCCCGGCCCATTCTTCAAAAGCGGCTGGATGAACCAATCTGGCAGCCTTAGCGGCTAGGGGTCCAGTAGATAAAGGGTTTAGGGGTTTAGGGTTTAGGGTTTTAGGGTTTTAGGGTTTAGGGTTTAGGGTTTAGGGTTTTAGGGTTTAGGGTTTAGGGAGGGTTGAGAAAGGTAGTTTCCCAAAGTAGGGGGACCCCATATACCCGAATATGCGATGATCCTTATCATTAGGTCACCCAAAAAAGTAACCCTAATTTTGGGAAACCCCCATTAGGCTTGGGTGCTTAGGGTTCAGGGTTTGGGCATAGTGCAGGGCTGTGGGAATTGACGTGTTTTGGGGCTTGCGAGTCAGGTGTTGGGGTTGGAGGTCGGTTGGAATTCCTCCTGCCGTGAAAACCAAGGTGTGCCTTTTCCATCTGCTGTGCGTATGACATGAGGGTTTAGGGTTTAGGGTTAACCCTCCCCAAAACTTGCGTGGAACCTGGGCGCATGTGGGGTTCCACGTTAGCTTGACAAGGTACATTCACGTTTTGGGGCACCCTCGTGCGTGCGTCCTTTCGGGCTCTCATACCAAGACCCTACACTTTGAGGGCAGGTAAACAGCCCCGTGCTAAGACATAACCATAGCCATTTTTCTCACCTCTAAGCTTCTCTCTCACATGAGAGTTGTTCCTTCCACCAAACATGGTGTTTCTGAGGCTTCAGCACGTCAGGCATCTTGTCTCTTGGCCTAGGGCGCACAAAAAGATCAACAGAATACATCCCAATGCCCCTTGTTTGGTGGCACTCTTAGGAGTTGTTGAACCTCTTTAGGAAAACACTGGCCCTTTGCTCCCTGAAGAACTATATGGAATCCCAGTTTCCATTTCATTGCCCATGTTCTTTTCCACGTGAGCCTCCATCATTCGTATATATCCCGGTATAACCCCATATAACCCCATTATCTAACTCTATATAAACCTATATACCCCTATATATCCCTATCTACCCCTGTATAACCCTATATAACCCTGACATCTCGTGAAGCTCCGCATGAACTGCGGAATTCTCTTTGCATCCTGCATGCGGGCTGCTATCGAAGAACTCTCGCACCACCCTCTTACAGGGGCTATAAGGTTCAAATCAAGTTTTTTACAAGGGTTATATGCAAAAAAAATGGAAAATGCGATGGAAACTGTGATTATCTAGTCAAGTGTAGGGATTAGTTCTTAATTTTTATCCTATGTTGACAATCCCAAGCGGTGCAAGATTCGCTCCATATGTACTAAGCGGACACGAGGTCTCTTTGGGAGGCGTTGCATACAGGCCCTAGCCCGCTCCCATCACGGGGTATCTTGATGAATGCTGATTGCTGCGCCAGAGCCGTCATTAGGGTTTGGGGGTTAGGGTCCAGGGCTTTCATTGCTTGAATTTTGCAAAAGCAAAACCAAGACAAGCAAGGGCGCACTGCAAGGTCAGAAACTTGTGCTTATACACAGCCCAACCCTTGAATCCTAAACCCTACAACCTAAGCGGTAAGCCCTGTTTAGGGGATTACCATATCTACTAATAGTAGTTTCCATTTTCTTCTCCACTTTCCTAATATTAGTATAACCCAAGATATCCCCTTATTCCCTGCTATAACTCCAATATAGAACCCATTATCATGTAGTAGTTTCCATTTTGTTTCCCATTATCCCCTTATTCCCTTGTTCCCTACTAACCCATCCATAACCTATATGTCGACTGCTGCAACACAACTGAGCCCAACACAGCCTCTCATGCCTTAGTCACCAAAGTCTCATGGGGTATTGGGGTAATATTAGGGTTTTATTAGAGGTTATAAAGGGCTTATACAGGGATCCTGTAAAGATCATGTAAAGATCATGTAGGGATTATATAGGGATTATGTAGGGATGATGTAGGGGATGTATTCAGTTGAGGATCTAAGGCTTAGAATCTAGGGTTTAGGGACGGAGCCTTCGACCGAGTAACAGGGGATCAGGGTCTTGGGGTGTGCAGTTTAGGGGCTTGCGGTTTAGCATTTAGGGGCTTTTGGGATTTAGATTCGGGGTGGAGGATCTATGGCTTGGGCTGGGGGTCGAAGTAAAGTGCCTCTGAGCTGCCGAGGAGCTGAGGCTTCTAGAACACCTTCCCGCTCGCTCAAATCCAATGGACCCTAAAGCCTGCATTTTTCTAAAGGCTTTCCACATAGGGACTACATAGGGAATATACGGATATTATATGGGGATTAAATGGGGGTTATGGTAGGACAATTCCGTCCTTAAATCGGGAAACTCAGATGGGGACGCATGTCATAATAGAAACCCAAACATGAGGACCTGCATGATACTAGTTAAGGGGACTTTCACTTCTGTGGTCGGTCTGAAATGCGATGCCCTCCCGAAGTAACATGGAATGCCAAACCAACCTCCTTTTTAAAGGGGGCTGTAGGGGGGTCCATGTTAGCGTGGGGCAGTCCCTACAGGCTAAACCCCCTACAGCTCCTACATAACCTCCATACAATCCTATAATCCCTATATATAGTCTCCGTATAATCCCTATGGAACCCCATATAATCCCCGCGTACTCCCCATGTGTAATGCCCTCAGAAGACCCCCCTGGTTTCCCGAGGTAATACTGGGGTCATATGAGCTACGGACTAGATTTCGGTTGCGGGGGACCTATAAGGGGTTTTGGGGGGGACCTCTTTGGGATATACCACAAATTTAGTCCAGGGCTCATATTGGCCATTTCCACTACTATCACGAGAACATTTACTAGTGTACCAGTTGCTACTGCTACTACTGCTACCACTGCTACTACTGCTATTACTGCTACTGCTACTACCACCACC